GTTTTAAATTCAGCTGATTAATAAGGGCCCTGAATTTTTACTGATTTATCAATTGCTACAGTTCTATCAGACAAGCAAACTAAAAGCTTTATTAGAAGACTGAGCATAGGTCTCTTTCGATATTCTTGCTATTCATAACCGTCATGTAATATTTTATTAAAGAGTATGTCTAATCGAGTCAAATTAACGTGAATATTTCCATTGGCGTCTATTTGTTCAGGTATCATCCAGTAAACATGTTTTAATAGAGCAGCTTGAATATAAAAAATATAGCCCGCACATACTTTTGAATTTGAATTACAAACAGTCGGTTTATTCTCGTTTATCTTATTTTTCTGTTCATCATATGGCATAAATTCAATGATAATTGTTTTCGGAGGTGCAAAATTCATATTATATAAACCACCTCCGTGCACTGACACGATAACTTTTGCCGTTGAAAATAATTTAACTGTCTCGATAATACTTTCATTTGAGTACTTTTTGTGATCATACTCAATATAGTTCAATTCTGCATATTTTGAAAAATTGGCTAATTTATGTCGAACTAGTTGGTTATTTATAATTAATCGTCCCCTATTATGAGAATTATGTGTAGATCTTTCTATATAGATTAAACTGACTTGTTGTTTATTGGTGGTTATTGGTGATATTTTCGCAAATGACCAATACATTTCTCTTGCTTTACTCCATAGTATGGGATGTATTGGTGGCTGTTTACACGGATTAATTAAAAGTTTTGCTGCAATTCTCATATTGTTTCTATAATGGATAAATCGTTCGCCACTGACATTTAACATTTTCCAAAAACTCTGTACATATTCATCAAATCTCACACCGTGTTGAATGACAACTTTAATGTCTGGATAATCTGCAAGATAATGCTTCGAAAAGACTAATTTTGGACCGATACCATCGAGAAAATGTTGAAAACTCCATCCATCTGGTACATTGTAAATAATTACCTTATCATAGATTTTATGCGTCTTCTTTGCATCGCTCAAATTAATAGATCGTACAATTTCCTTTACACTACATCTGAATCCACAATCAGCATTCTCATACGTCCCATTCTCAACGATAAATATTTGAAGTAATAGTTCGGATTTATTATCGTATACAAATTCTTTACAATCAACACAGCGTAATTTATGTTTATGTTCATTATAATACGTTGATTTCAAAAACCATTTTGAACAATATTCATCGATGCAACGTGGAAATGGCAATAAAAATGATTCAAGTTGAATACTTTCATTGGAGAATTGTTTCACTCGATTTTGCTTTGCTGTTGTTAAATCTTGTTTTAATGACGAAAATTTTG